TTAGTTGCCCAAATCGCTCTCGAGATCAACACATGATCGACAACCAAAAACACTTCGAGAGATCACATTGTCATTCTGGTGCCAGAAAATCTCGACGTATAGAAAGTCATAATACTTTGAAAATCCGCAAGAATCCTTCTTTGGCTGCGAAAACCATTTTCTGAAATACGTTGAATACAGCGTAAGTTCAGTTTATCCAGTCAGTACCAAGCTTTTTCAGGATGGTTGAACTTTTCCTGTGCCTCTTGGCCATGATATCAGTGTTCCTTTTCTCTGGGAAACTTTTGCTCTGGACAGCCAATTTTCTACCACCCTCTTTCAGACTTATGTTCAACAGCTGTACTATCAAGTACCTGATTTTTTCGGTGCAACTGTCTTCCTTGTACGTGTGGAATAGGTTGTGCCTTGGTACGAAGAAACTAGGTAAAAAGCGTTCCCCTGCAGCTTGAGAGAGTCTTGTAAATATCCCATATACAAGTGTTTTTAAAGTCAACTTGTTTGTAGAGTTGTTACTGTCGTTCAAATGGAGTGCCTCAAGCTCATGAAACAAAGCTGTCTTGAGAACATAACTGGAGAAGGTATTTTTTGTTAAAATCTTTGCTGTACCGTACTCTCCTCCATAAATCATTGAGAATGGAACTTTTGCTGTTCTCCTTGATAGAACCTTTGCAACCACACAACTTCTCTTGACAACATCTGGCATTTTAAGAAATATCTCTCGCTCAGCAACAGAAAAGGTCACTGTTAGAAGATGAGCGGGATTCCCGAAATGTTCTGTGCTGTTCAATCCAACATCGGGTTGTTTGAGTACAACATGACATTCCCGAGTATCGGGGGTCAATATAGAGCTGTCTTGTCTTGCAAATGATGGCCACAGAGATTTGACCTGAATTGCTGGAACTATATCGATGCTGACGCTTCTTGCATTCATAACATCTTTCTTCCAAACTAGACTAAGCTTTATATTTGGACGTCCAGTGGTACTCTGCAAAGTAGGGATGCAGGGGCACTCCATGTCACCATCTTGCCAGATTTTAGGTTGGTTCATCACTAGGACCATGAGATCGCAAAATGCCTTTGAAACTCTGTCTCCGACAAGATAGCCTTCAGAGAAAAATTCCTTAAATTTGGACTGGTTTGTCGGTTGCTTGTGCGCAACCCTAACGTGTCCTACGACGGCTGGTACTTCCTCAACAATGACCTCTTCGCTAAGTCTTTCTAAACAGATCATATAGTCGAAGTCTGTCAGAAATGAGGCTTCTGTTACAGGTTTTGTCCCTTCATAGGTGCTTCCACTCGGCAGAACATTGGAGGCAAATCTAGGATCCATCCTGGCGATTTCATCACATAGATGCCTGACAAACTTCTCAATCGAAGAGTTTATGCAATTCTGAAGGTTTATTTGCTCATCTGATGGAATGGTCCACAAGGAGATTTGATCAAGGTACTCTTGGACATTTGGAGTTGGCCTCAAAGTTTCGGGGTCAATGTCTCTATCACTGACAATGCAAATTGGTTGAAGATAGTCCTTTAAAAAGGAATTCTCTTGGGAGCCAGGGAATTCATGTAATGGTAAGGGGTGAATCTTTCCTGGATTGGCTACCTGGAAAATGACCTGGCTGACATCCCTGGAGTACCTGGCCATTTCGATGCAAGTCACACCAGAGGGAAGATCAATTTTTACATCTGCTCCATATTGCAAAAGACAACTTAGAATTGACTCTTCAGTTCTTTTATGCAATAGGAAATAATGAAGAGGAGTCATCCCAAAATTGTCTTGCTTGTTCATGAAATTTTCAACTCCTTGTGGAGGCGGTGACATTGCTGGGATGATGGTACGGATAATTTCACGCTTGCCAGAAGTTGCAGCATAGTGAAGAGGAATTCTTCCTAAGTGATCAACCACGCAAGGGCTCTTTGAATACTCCAACAGAATCTCAGCAACTTTAAAGTCTCTGTTAAACATACTTTTATGTAATGGTGTTCTTCCAATATGGTCAGCAATCGATGGATCGGCACCACACTCCAGAAGGGTCTTCACCTGCTCTGGAAGTGCGCTGTACGCTGCATACTGCAAAGCAGTTTGGCCATTTCTGTTCTTGACGTTAACATTACATCCCAATTTTACTAATTCTTCGAGAATCGTTGTCACCTCCAGGGAATCTTCCTCAGAAGGGTAGAAATAAGGATTCATCTTGAATATGGCATGCAAACAAGTATTTCCATATTCGTCGATAACGCGAGGGCTCGCGCCACATCTTAGTAAATGTAAAACACTGCTTGCTTTTAAGTTAAAATTCGTACAAGCCAACCTTATAGGTGTGAAACCATGGAGACCCGGTTTATCTACTCCAGCTCCTGCCGAAATGAGTAGGTTTGTCTTTTCTAAGATGTTTTCTTCGACCTCAGAAAACACTGCAAGGTGCAAGGGAGTAAATCCTTGCTCGTCGGAGACGTCGACCGAGAGCTTCCTGTTTATAAACTCTTCAAGAAGAGCTTTAAATACCTCAGTGGTTCCCCAAAGAGCAGCTTCGTGCAAAGGTGTTCGTCCTTTCACATTTTTCGCCGCTGGATCGGCTCCTAGTGCAAGCAAACGTGCGACTATGTTATAATCTCTGGCAAAATGCAATGGGCTGTTGCCAACACTATCGCTTTGATCGACGCTCGCTCCTGCCTCAAGGAGAAGCGAACAGCAACTGAAATGGTCGAATTTACAGGCAAGAAGTAGTGGAGTTTCCTTGGAATCGTTACTATAGTTAACCTCTGGATTTTGAGCGGCCAAGAGCTGTTCAAGCTTCTTGCTATCGCCTATTTCTGACGCCAGTAATACATCCATTATTGCTTTCGACAAACCTTCCTTGCTCGCCTCTGCCCTCATCTCCAGGCCTCGTTTTCGCGTACAACATCACATGTATGCGGAAGTGTGACGGGTTGGGGTTGGTCGGAGAACACGTGCAGCGCGTAGAAGAAACTTCACGCTTTTCACTTAAAATTGAAGAAGAGGGCGCTGGTATTTTCGGTTTTTCGGTTTTGGCCACTTTATAGGTCGGTTTTTCGGTTTTTGTGCTGAAAAACTTCGGCTTTTAGGTTTTATCGGTTGTCCGTTGCGGTTTCCGGTTTTTCGCTTTTCTAGTTAGCTTCCGGGTTTTGGCAAAAATAAAGCAGGTTAGATTCCTCTGTGGTTCTCTGTGCAGTCAGATGTTTGGCTATTTCATATGTTTGTATTTTACAGTCGATCCAGGTCAAACTGCACTGTGGGATTCTGGATTTTTGATTGAAGTTTACAGCTATAGGAGCCCGGGGGAGTGCTTAGGTTAATTTTTGCTTGGTATGTGCCATTGGCCTCTCAGAGCCCCTACCCCATTATAGTCTATTCTGTGGCAAATTACATACCCCATCTTAGTCCCTTTCAGGCGAATATGTAATTTTCGCGATCCCAACTTAGTCACTTTCTATTTTTATGAATTGGCCCATTTTTTAGATTGACTGAAGAACATTTTACTTTTCATCTGCAGTACAAACATTCTGGTATGTTTGCTAACCGCAAATATGAAGAACTGTCTTACCCCCAAAAATCCGAAAATGTGCGACCCCATTATAGGTCATTATAGTAACTCTATTGAAAATGCGACCCCATTATGGTCAATCCAGTCGTGAAAATGCGACCCCCATGGCCATCCAGCGGCACATCCCAACTAGCCTCTTATAAGGAAGTACGCCCCCCCCCCCGGGTATAGGAGAGCTTTTTGTGAACGCAAAACTTCCCCCATTGTCATCTATTGCTATTCAATCGAGGATCTTTGTTAATTCTCCTAGACAATCCTTGGGCAGATATGCCGGTTTTACTAAATCCATAGATAGTGCTGATACTGTGATGATGATGTGATAATTGAAGAACACCTCCCCAAGTCTATCGACAGACGGCCGACAGATTTTTTGGGGAACTGTTCTTCACATTTACCGTTTGTTCCTTATGTTCCACATAACATTAACGTTTAACATCTAGACTAGGGTTTTGACAATTGAGCCGGTTTTTCGGTTTTGAGTAATTTTCAGAGCGGTTGTTCGGTTTTTTATAGACCGCAAATCCCCCTCATTGAGGGCAAGGCTGATCAGACAGCTAAGGATTGGTAATTTATGTGCCCATTGTTTCGAATCGGCAAAACTTGTCAAGTCGAAATATTGGGCAAAGTTCAATCGGCCTTGCCTTCAATTTTGAGTGTTATTCTACATTGCTGATCCTCATCTACACCAAGATCCAGCTTTCCCTAGCTGCTGTTTGTCAAAGTGGTTCTTGCAAGAATTGCTCGCTCATTTATGCACCAGTCAATGTTAACCCCAGGGTAGGTGGTCCGGGCATCCCCGGGGGGTTGATTGTATTTCCTTTTCGGTAGGTGGGGAATCATTAAAGATTCGACGTAAAACAATATCCCGAGGGTGGGGTCAAGGCGGGGGAGTTTGACAAGATCTCGCAGGAGCCTATACTAGAACTTCATCTCAGCCCTACCCCTTGAAACATTACTCAGAGTTCCTTGGGATTGCTGTTTCACCTGCTTGGCATAAATTATAAAGGCACTTGATCAAAAATGTAAGATGTGGTATTTTAACATTTGGCTCGATTTTCGACATAGTATGGTTGTACTGTTGCCGCTTTTTTCTTTGTTGTGTTACAAAGTCTGTTAACCTTACCCACTCCATAATTATTGCACGTTCGTAAACGTACTTCTGCTAATATACAGATTTGGCCAAGGCTAAAAAAGTGTAGCTCCAGTTAATAAATTTATAATTTAAATCAAACAATAAACTTGTGATCCACAAATCAATTAACTAGAGAGATTCATATGACTTTTAAGGGTGGAGCTGGGTGATTTTAGAGAAAAAATAATGTGCAAACAGTGCAAGAATGGAACATGTAAAATCTTACATTGAGTTAAAAGTCTTTTATGTACGTACACCCAATAAAAAGCAATCATCTTTGATCAAAGTAGATTAGGCTTAGAAAAACATTCTTCCCAAGCAAAATAACCTACTTGCCCACCTACACCACCTTTATTTTATTAGGGTAATCGGACAGTCCAGAAAGATAATTTTATGCTACAAAGGCCATTATTTTAAGACAAGACAATCTTTGGTAGCAGCCAGTTACACGTTATAACGTATCGGTTTTATCTCTCTGTCTAAAAGAAAGGCCAAAATGAAAAATTAGGCCGGATTTTTTTGTGTGGCTCGCTACACGTTTACTTCACAAATCTGGTAGCGCGTAAACCAACCTTTTTACATCACTGTGCCCTGAGGTAAACAGAACTATCAGGGGGTTGTTTGTTTATCGTTTAGACCTCGGACAGAATCACTTTTTTGCCCTATGTTTACTTTTATGCTGCAGTTTTTTACAGAATAAGTTTCCAAGACAAATTCGGTACTCATTCAATATTCAGGAGGGACGCTGCATACTTTTCCATTCCACAACAAATTATAAAAATGAAAACAACATAAAACGTTTTTCTATAGAGAATTCACCATGCATTAGACGGGACTGTTCAGTCAGGTCATTCTGCTGTTATGTAGTATGCAGGGTAACAATGGGCTTTGAGCAAAAACTTTCGAAGAAAGTTTATTTTAATTCACTTTGCACAATCTACCGTCAGCCCAGCCACTTCTGAATTCTGCCAAGCGCCAAACTTGCAGTCTGAGTGCAAGCTGCCGTAAATATTATAATAGGAAGAGGTCTCAAAATGATTTTCGTTTGCATTTTACTTCTAAAACACCATATTCATTTGATACACGCGGCATTTTGAGTACTCCTGCATTTGATGTTCATGTTCGACTGAAAACAACAACCCGGCCGCAAGCGATAAGCCAAGAGATCTTGAGAACAATCAAGACAAGAAATTTAAGTCAATGAAACATTTCAAAGGACAACAATTTTTATTCACGAAGACATGTGTTGAGAGTGAAGTGTCTCTGAAAATCCTGAGTAATGAAAAAATCCTTGCAAATTTAAGCCTAATTTTCAAGGAGGCTTAGCCGTGTTTGGTCTGTTTGCTATTTTCAAGATGAACTCAAGGCAAGAATATCCCTCAAAGCTTTCTTTTTACAACTAAAAGGACAACCAAATATTCTTCAGAACGTTTTCTTTCTCTCTGAGTTGCGGCCAGAAAGACTTTTTAAGTCGGCTGTACTACATGGGTCAGATCATTGTCTCAAAAGACTCAAAAGTCAGAAATGTGCGTAAAGATGACGGCATGGTCGAGATGCAGCAGCTAGTGAAAGCCATCAAGTAAGGCTAGAACCGCTTAAGACTTTTCAACCTGCTTACGTATCTAGTAAGGTTAGGTGCTAAGAATAGCTTATTTTTTAAAACGATGATTTCCGACTAGCTACTTTTTGTCAAGCGGCACATTTCTCAATCAAAAATCCAATAAAAAGCCAGCCAATGATAACAAAAAATCTTGACGGCAGCTGTATTTCATTTCGTATATCCAGTGCAAAAAGACGGTTAAAAACATAATAAGATGACACAAAACGCTGTCAGCTTCAGCTATCAGTGAAGAAGTCTCTAGATTCTGCATAAATTTTTCACTACTTCTTAGCCTGTTAATTTTCTTGCTCTCTGTTTTTCTCTTCTTTCTCTTTCCCTTTACTCTTAGCAAATAGGTTGAATTCAAACCGCTCCTGTTTGTTGCTATAACAATTTTTTTCGAGATAGTTTGCTAGAAACTGAGACCACTGTCACCAAATACTTTTGCTATAAAATACTTGAAAACAATTTCCTAAAGTAAACAAATTTTTGAACGCGACGACAATGGCCAAGAAACTACTTGCGCTATTTCCCACCAAGAAAAACGCGGGTTGCACAAATGCATTGCACGATTTGCCAAGAAAATTTAACATACTCCTCCCCTCGGACGGGCTAGCACCGATTACCTTCCTCACCCCCAAAGATTGTACGGACGGACTGAGTACGCTGAGGTTACAACCAAAATTTCAGTGAAATTTCTCGGATGGAAAGTTACCAAGTTTCCTTAGCTATGGCGCTCCGCTCGCGCGCTCAAGGAGCCCCACTATATTAAGACAGCAGGGCTTCAATAATTTGAAATCATTTTCGGTGGTAGGATTGTAAAAAGGCTTAGAAATAGTGCCAATAAAGATATTCTCATGATAATTTGTTACATAATTGAAACCCCATTCCTAGAGTGATCTGGAAGGCGACATGTATTATACGCTTCGAGATCCAAATTGATGACTATGGCTGGAAGTTCCCCCTCTGTGTTCCAGAAGATCTCGTTGGAATTTCAAAATGTTTGTGAATGTATATACAGTGACAAGGAAATATGCATGGTAATTTATATCATCTTAAACCAAACAAAATTTACTCCCAGGAAAGGGGTATTTGACATCAGTGTTTTCCCCCTGGGTAAAGACTTTGACATGAAAATAGGCTAAAAGGTCAAATCCCGCTCGGTATGCATAGCCCCCCTACCCTGGAGCTTAACATTTACTGGTCCATCACGCTTTTCACGGCCACAAAAAGCACAGGGAACCCAAGCTAATTATGAGAGTTTTAATAATATTAATACGTGTTAGGGTACTGTATTGCATAATCCTCAAAATGGCCTTGAATATAAAGGATTTGTATGGAAACTCAGTAATAGATTAAGTACTCGCAGGAATTTTCAATAAAAATGGTCTACCTTCTTTAATTGGTTTGTTCTTGCTTCCTGTGTGTTTTCTCGGGATAAAAAGTTATCTCAGGATAAAAACTATCATGGGATAAAAATATCTTGGTATAAGAAATTATCACAGGATTCAACTGTTATCTCAGGATAATATTATCACAAGATAAAAAGCTATCTTTAGCTCAAAAAGAAAAAATTCTGC